CCACTAGAGTGGGATATTTTGTTTTTTTCTTAGGTCAAGAAAGGTTCAGGGGAGGCAGGGAAAATACAGTCCAGGCAGGCCAGTACCAGGCAGTCCGAAGACTCTCTGCCAATCCACTCTCTAAACGCTGGGAGGAGTGAGGAAGCAGACAGGCACCCTTTTCACTGGCCAACAGTTAACTGAAAGTTCACATTTTGCCCTTTCCCTGCCTCCCACGTGGGTTTTTTTGAGTTCTTAACTCAAATCTAAGTATGTAAGTCAAGTCTATATTTTCCTATGAGAGTGGTTCTTCAGTCAAAATGTTCTTAACTCAAGCTGTTCTTAAGTCAAGACCCCACTGTACAATTTATTGATGGTCCAAGTTTATTTTAGATTATCCAGCCATTTCATTCCATTGTGAAGATTTTATTTATTGATGTAAAATGCCTCAAACTCCTCAGATGAATGCAACTGTTGAAAGGTCAAGGCATTTGAGTGTGAAAATCCATATAAGCAGTGTTGTTTTGACTAACTATCCAGCCAAATTTTATTCACTCCAGCAACATTTAATAATTTGAAGAATGCCAAGCAAACCACATTATGAATACATGTTTTGTGTTTTCCTGGTTGCTTGCATTTTCCTCACTCTGAAATACTACCAACATTATTTTTGATAGCTCTCCAGGTTCAAGAGCCAAAGCACTCCTCAGCTAGGGAATACAAATTAAATTAACCAATGAAAAGTTCTGATTATCAGACATGAGAGAATGGAACCCCTGCATCAGGTCTGCTTTTTAAATACATGCCTGTAATTTTCCAGCAATCCAGTTATCCAACATAATCAAAAGGCAAGAAAATGTCAGCAAGTTTAAAAATTGCTGCTGCGTAAGAAATTAAATGGACAACACAAACATCCCTCAAAGCACCACCCTCAGGTGGATGAATCAGACTATATTTCTACATCAGTGTCTTTAGTCTTCCACTTCATTTAAATTTATGCTTTCAAGTCATACCATCACCCTTAGCACAATTACTCTCCCTGCATCCCTACAGTTCATTTATGAGGCTAACATGTCTACCTCCAGGGCACCTTCTTAGATACATTTTGCTCCTAATAAATAAAGCTTAGTGTCTGGAAGTTGAGTCATGACAACTGGACTTCTTTCTTGTTAGGTTGAATCGTTTCGCTATTCATCCATGGAGCTTCTTCAGTCTGAGGAGAGTTGGTAGGAGATCCCTGATATATCCTCCATGTTGGTTTCACTTCCCCCTGATCTGAATAGGCTCATTAGAAGGACAAAGGACTTGGGGTGAGGGATAATCCCACTTCTGCAGTCCTTCTCCACCCATTGTCATGGGTTGTTGATGGTTGTTAACGGTGATCTTTCTTTTGTGTCCCTAATCCTTCTGGGGATGGATGAAAGGGCAGCATAATAAATAGGAGACAGATTGTATCTAATACCTCCACCCCTTTTGAGTGAGATATTTTCTATATGCACATGTAGGGCCTCCTTGACCCCTCTCTCAAGCCATCAATCTTCTCAGTCTAAAATGAGTACATCTTGGTCACCAAATGAGTGTCCTTTGTCCTTCAAATGAAGGAACACTGCTGATTTTGGTTCTGAATAGAGATGGAGATGACTCACCATTTTGGCGAGTTGTCCTGCTTCATGAGTCGTGAAAAGTTGACGACTCACAAAACATGAAGCTGTCCCCATTAACCGATGAAGCACGAATTTATTTGTCCATTTTTGGGG